TTTCCTTTTCATTTTCTTTTTTTCCTTTTCTTTTCCTCTCTTCTTTTTTTTTTTCCTTTTTTCTTTTTTTCCTTTTCTTTTCCTCTCCTTTTTTTTCCTTTTCTTTTCCTCACTTTCTTTTTTTTTCTTTTCCTCCTCCTTTTTTTTTTTCCTTTTCCTTTCTTTTTTTCCTTTTCTTTTCCTCGCTTTCTTTTTTTTTTCCTTCTCCTTTCTTTTTTTTTTTTCCTTTTCTTTTCCTCTCTTATTTTTTTGCCTTTTCTCCCTTTTTTCCCCTTTTCCCCTTGTATTTTTTTTCTTTTAACCCCCCCCTCCCTGCCCCGCAGCCCGAGGCTGCCATCCCCCCATTGCCCTGTTTGTTTGCCCCCCTCGGTGGCAATTCAACATGATTCCCTCCCCCCCCCCGGGCTTTTTTTTTTTTTGCTGCGCTTTTTCTTTCGGCGAGGGTTGTTTTTGCCCCAGTTAAAGCTCTTTTTTTTTCCCCCCCTTCCCCCTCTCTCTCTCTTTTTTGTTTTTTTTGTGTTGTTTAGAACCCCCAGGCCTCGCAGTGGAAGGACCCAGCGCTGAGTCAGCTGATGTGCTTCTGCCGGGAGAGTCGCTACACGGATCAGTGGGTGCCCGTCATCAACCTCCCCGAGCGGTGACGGCCCCCGGGGGCCGGGGGGGCCCCACACGGACTCAAACCCCCTCGCACTGGAAGTTTTTTTGGCAATATTTTAGCAGTTGCTCAGGAGGTAAAACTCCCTGCCCTGGCACGAGGATCGCGGGATGAGGGGGGGAAAAATGGGAGAAAAAAAAAAAAATAACAAGGCACAACAACAGGAGGAAAAAAAAAAATACAAAAACAACAACAAAAAAAATTAAGTGATAAACACCCTGTCAAAGCAGGGGGGGTTTGGCTGATGTTGAGCCACGTCCACTGGAGAGAAGTGGCTCCAAAATGTGGGAGCCAAGGGACAAGTGGCTCGGTGGTGCCTGAGGAAGGAGCCCCCCCACACGCCTGGGGTCCAAGGGGGGGCCCCACAAAAAAAGACCCCCGTGGTTATTTCTTGTTTTTTTTAAAAGCGCAACTTGCAGTTTCTGGTTTAAATACCTTAAGGCAAAAAAAGAAAGAAAGAAAAAAAAAAGTTAATCGCAACATTTTACAATTTTATTGTATTTTTGGGATGTTAATTCTCAAGTTTTTATGCTAAGATATATAATAATAAGTTATTTTATGATATTGATGGAAAAAAAAAATAATAAAATTATTTATACTTGGGAGGTTTGAGAAGCAGAAGGCCCTGAAGCAGTTGGGCTGCAGCCACGCGTCCTGGCACAGTTGGCTGCTTAAAGCAGCTACATTTAATAGAACTGTTTGAAATTAGATAGTGTTCTGGGGTGGTTTGGTTTTTTTTTGGTTGGTCTTTTTTGTGGGGTGTTTTTTTTTTCGTTTGGGTTTTTTTTTTTTGAAATAAAAGTTTTTTAAACTCTACCCCTTGGTCCTGGCTTCTATTTTATTTTTTTTTTTCTGACCCCCTTCATTAGTCAAAAGGGCTCGTTTGGCAGCTGCTTCCGTGTCCTGGCCGTGGGCAAGGTCCTGGGTGGTTTTATTCCTGGCCCCTCCCAAGCCATTACAGGAACCAGCAGCTGATGCGCTGCAGGAACTGGGGGAAACGGGATTTATTTTTCTTCAATGCTGCCACTTCACCAGCAGAGATTAAAAACAAGAAGCCAAAGAGGAAGTGTGATTAATTTTTTCTTTTTTTTTTTTTTTTTGAGGCTCCTGCAGAAACCTGCCTTTTCTTGGAATGTGGGGATTCCTGATGGGAGGAATGTTTGATTCCCTGGATCCCATTGGGGCTCCAAAGGCCGGGGTGTCCCGTTGCCTGCGGGGAGGCTGGACCAGTTCTCCTGCTCGAGCAGGATGGCAAGATGCCACCTGGCCCCAGGGCCATGGGGCCACCTCACCCTCCCCGTGGTGGCCACTCGCACGTAGCTGGGGAGCGGGGAGGTGGTGGCATCTCTGGACCTTGGGGGACTTGGGATGGGTGTGGGATGCACCAGGGGATCAGGACACACACCCTGAGCCCCATCACGGAGCCAGGAACAAGGGGATGGGGTGAGGAGGGGCCACGGGGGCTGCACAAAAAGGGAGTTTTCTGAAGATATATTACTTTTAGCTTCATTATTAGGGCATTTTCAAAGCAAGTGCACCCCAAGAGGGGAGCCACTGGCTGTTGCCTCACTCTGGGGATGTATTTAAATACATATATATTAAAATATATATGTATGTAATATATGTATTTTTTTTATATATAAAATTTAACTCCCTCCTGCCATCGCATGGGATTTTTAACAGCGCAAATATCAGCTATTAAGGAAAAAAATTAACCCCCATCTGACCATAAACACACAGAAATACAACTTGGGGAATATTTTAACCCTCCTTCTCCATCGCACACCAGACACCCTGGTGCTCCTTCCCATGGGCAACAGGCTGGGGGGGCTCAAATCACCATTTTTGGCATTAAAATCAATCACAAAAATTTGCAATTTCACCAAGTTCTACCCCGGTTTCTCCCCCAGCCCCCATCTCCCACCCTGCAAACCACCCAACTGGGACGCCACCATGACCCACCCCTGCACCCGAACACTGGGGTTTTTCACCCAAAACCATTCCAGAAATGGCAAAGCCGGAGAGGAACCCAGCAGCACCCACCAGCACTGGGAAGGAAGGACATTAAATTAATTAATGAGCCAAAAGGAGGAGCTGCACATGGAATGTTTTCAGGCTCTGGACTCGGACTCGAGCTGATGCTCTGCTTACCACTTACTAGCAAAATAAGCTATTTTGGGGGTTATTTTCTTTAATTTTGGGCTAATTCTGTGCTGCCACCAATATCAGGGGTCCTGCTCCCACTCCCCCACCCCAACGGGAGCGGGGATGAAGGTGGTTCAGGCCTCATTTAATAAAACCAGTTAAAACGAGGCAGTTGCAGAAAGAAATCCCCCTCTATATCTGTACACAATTATATAAACACATATATATGTATAAATGAAAGCTTTGGCTTGGGGAGGAGCCTCCTTTTATGGCTTGTAACTAACCAAGACTCAACTGGACTCAAAACCAAAAAGCACCAAGACAGAGCAACAAGTTCAAGCCAAAACTGATCATTTTTGGCAAAACGCAGCGTGAGGTCCCGGCTGTGGGAAAGGGCTCTGTCCCACCTGGGGGACCTCTGGCAGATCCTGTGAGATCTCCTCATTCCCCCCTTTTAGCACCATCGGTTTGACCAGAACAGGTTCTACCTGAGACAAGATCTAAACACCACCACCACCACCAGAAGGACATGGAGCTGTTGGATGGGGCCAGAGGAGGCCCCGGAGATGCTGGGAGGGCTGGAGCCCCTCTGCTGGGAGGACAGGCTGAGAGAGTTGGGGGGGTTCAGCCTGGAGAAGAGAAGGCTCCGGGGAGACCTTCCAGCCCCTTCCAGTCCCTCAAGAAGGGGGGCTCCAGGAAAGCTGGGGAGGGACTCTGGATGAGGGAGGGGAGCCCTAGGAGGAGGGGGAAGGGTTGGACCCTGAAAGAGGGGAGATGGAGCTGAGATGTGGGGAAGAACTTGTTTGGTGGGAGGGTGGTGAGAGCCTGGCCCAGGTTGGCCAGAGAAGCTGTGGCTGCCCCATCCCTGGAGGGGTTCAAGGTCAGGTTGGAGGGGGCTTGGAGCAACCTGGGCTGGTGGGAGGTGTCCCTGCCCAGGGCAGGGGGTGGAATGAGACCATCTTTAAGGTCCCTTCCCACCCAAACCATTCAATGACTCTCTGATCTGCAGAAGACCTGTCCTGCTGTCACCCAATGCTATGGGGACAGCCAGGTTCTGGGTTCTTTTGGGGTTGGGAGCAAGGGGTATGGGTCCCACCAGCACTGGGCCTTCCCCACCCCAGCCTCACCAGCACCCTTCCACGGAGGACACTCCCAGCGATGCACCAGCAAGTCCAACCACTGCAGCTCAGCAGCTCCAGGAAGCTGAGGAAAATGCATTTTGAAAAGCTGGGAGCATAGAAAAAACAGAAATATTTTAGCAAGGGGCTGTTTTAGCAAGAGTCTGGGCTCCGAGTCACCAACCGGCCCTTCTGCCTTTAATGCAACACAGCACTAAAGAGCCAAAATAGAAAATAGATAACAAAATAAGAAAAATATTTAAAAAATAAGATAAACCAGAAGTAACAAGCTGGCTGCTTAATTTATGGGGGGAAAAAAGAATAAATACCCATTCTGGAGTGGTGGTGGGGCCACTTGATAGAAAAGAGAGGTGGCATCGCCGTGTCACCCCGCTGTGTCCCCTCCGTGGGTTTTCCCCCACAGCCGTGGATGCAGATGGTCTCATTTCTCCTTTTTTTTTTTTTTCATTCCTCCAAACTTTACAATTCCTGTTCTTTCACGGGAGTATTTAGAGCAGAAGAGCAAAACGCAAAGGTAACCGCTGGAGCTTTCACCACATCCCTATATATTGCATTTAAAAAAAATAAAGAGTTTACCGAAAAATCACCACCCAGTTACCATCTTGCACGGCCCAACCAAGTTAATTACTGTTCTTAACAAGGTGTGTTGTAAAATGATAGACACAAACACAGTAGAAAGAATTAGTGTGGATCTACATTATTGGTTTTTTTTTTTAAATTGTCGCTAGAAAAATACTCCAATTATAAAAACAGTAACAAGCAGTACAATTTTCCGTCTGTCGATTTTCGAGCCGCTCGCTAAGGAGGCTGGTTAAACAAATCTGTGATTTCTCAATATATCTCAGTCGTGTGTATATAATTTAATATAGAAATGACAAATAGGCAACGTTAAGACAGTAAATTACAAGTGGTTACTAAATTCTGTAAATACCATTCCAGAAACGCACGGTTATGGCAAATTGTAACTTCAGCCCCTGAACCACCAGCTACAGGGAAAGGCTGAAGTTGGTATTATTTCCAATCCCTTCAAAGTTTGCTGTTAATACACACTGTTTGTATAAATATACTACTAAAATGGGTTTTTTTTAATATGTATATATACGCGCACACACACAGAGAAAGACTTTTTTTATTCTGTATATCTATAAAATCACTTACTTGGTGGAAAGGCCCTCCAATTTTATCCATGTAACCGCAATCCGGATAGAATTTGGCTTTTTTTTTTTTTTTTTTAACCCCCTTTAAAAATCAATTTAAAAAATTCTGACTCCCTGCACAAACTGTAACTGGGGCTTGGAGCGAGGGAGCGGTGCCTCCAGCTCAGCACCAAGCTCGGGAGGTACAAACTTGCAGCCTTTCATTCTTTTGACAGGGTTTGTTTTTTTAATACTAACACTGATTTTTAATTAGAGACGAAAACGCAGAGAAGCAGAATCAAGGCTGAAGATCCCGCTATTTTTCATCTCCTCTTAAAAAGCAGGCAAATTGATCTGTGGGTCTCTGAATCTGGATATTTGGGGTTTTAAAATTTAAAAAACCTGTGTCAGGAGAGGCCGGCGTAAGGCAGGCTGTTAAAATTTAAAAAACCTGTGTCAGGAGAGGAGAGGCCGGCGTAAGGCAGGCTTCAGGCAGGGCTCCTGGGAGCTCACCACCGGCTGCTACAATCCTTTTTCAAGGTAGTTTTTGCTAGAAAATGCACTTAGAAACGTGGCTCTGCAGAACCACAGGCCACCAACACAGCTCCACCCCCCCTCCCCGCAGACAGAATTTAACAAAAAACATAAAATCAGGTGTTTTGCCCCTTCGCCTCCGCTCCCTCAGCAAAGCTCAGGCAACTTTGGTCGCATTTAAACTTGCGGAGTGACCCTGGGTTCCCCCCCACAAGCAGGCAGGGCTCCTGGGAGCTCACCACCGGCTGCTACAATCCTTTTTCAAGGTAGTTTTTGCTAGAAAATGCACTTAGAAACGTGGCTCTGCAGAACCACAGGCCACCAACACAGCTCCACCCCCCCTCCCCGCAGACAGAATTTAACAAAAAACATAAAATCAGGTGTTTTGCCCCTTCGCCTCCGCTCCCTCAGCAAAGCTCAGGCAACTTTGGTCGCATTTAAACTTGCGGAGTGACCCTGGGTTCCCCCCCACAAATCCCGGGGATGGGGAGACACAGACCCCATCCCCTTGGACAAGAAAGAGGTGAATTCAGGTGGAAACCTCCTACTGAAGGTAGGGAAGAGAAGAAACGCTTGGAAAAAGCTGAAGAAATGGTTTATAGGCCTGGTAAAAGAGCGGCCGCTCTGGCACAGTGAGGAGCCGGTACCTTAGAGAGGCTTTGCCCGGGGGGGGGCCGTGGAGGAGCTGCTGCTCTCCTACAATAAAATACAGGTTTTCTTGTCCTTGAAAGGGTTCTCTGAAGCCGGGATGCCCATTAGCAAGGGATCTTTCTTGGCATGTTCTTCACAGTAGAGCATTAGGTCTGCTGAGGCTTTCGACACCTGGATAGACAGGGGGGAAAAAAAACCAACACAACCACCATAAAATGATATTTTCCCATGATTGGTACCATGATTGAATGTACAAAGTCTCTGTGTGGGACCTGAGGGACCAACATGTCCTCCAGGACCCCATTTCCTCCTGTCCCAAGCTTGCTCTGGCATCATCTGCAGGGGGGGAAAAAGGATGGAGCCTTTTTTCACCTGAAAAAGTGATGCTCAACTCAACACAGCTTCTACAGGAGCCTGAAAATACACAGGAGGAGGTTCAAAATAACACAGAGGGTTCCTAACGAGGAACTTGTCACCCCTAGGGCTGGGGACAGGGAAGAGAAGTGTCTTCTGACAGAGGGCATCGCTGCGCAGAGAAGCTGGCTATCTGCTGGGCTGCCCTTCCAAAGCCAAAGCCAGGAGGGCAATAGTGCCCAATGTAGCTGGTCTCCTACCCCTGCTGGCTGGAAACCAGTTTGGCTTTTTTTCTGTCTGAAAAAAAAAAAAAAAAAATCCAGTTTCCACTCCCCTTTTTCCTTTTTTTGTTAAAATGTCCATCCAGATTCACCTTCCCTGCAGACACAGCCCTCAGCCAGCCAAGGGATGGAACCAAAAATCACAGAATAGGCACAAAACTGGAAATTCATACCTGCCTTCTTTGATTTGCACCTCCTATTTTTGCTTCAGTTCTCCCCTGAGCCCGTAAACCACCGAGCTACCTGGGGACAGGGCTGGTGGTGGCCACCAAAACTAGATATATAGAGTTTTGTGGGGTTGAAATGTCAATGCCACACTTGGAGGTGGGGCAAACACTGAAATGCAGGCACACACGCTCCGTTGTCTCACTGCCCTGCAGCTGGGAGGGGGGAAAATACAGGAAAGGGGTGAAGGAAAATTTGGTCTCACCTTTATTCTTTCTATTGAGGCTTCTATCCTGAGCTGCTGGACAGTCCGTCGGGCCTGGGCTATGTTGTTGGTGGTGCTAGCTGTTTTCCCAGACATGTTCAGCCAAGCAGTGAAGCTCTGTTTGGGTAAAAAAAAAAGCAGGGTTAGTTTTCCAGAAGGTCTCACAGCACCTTAAAGTGCTTTGACACAGAGGCAACCGCGACACCCTGTAAAAAAGGTGGTTTTTTTATTATTATTATTCTGTGCAACAAGAGTTTTGAGCTGAGAGGCTGCTCAGGAAACAATGCCCTGTGACCAAAACACTGGAAAACCCCTCCTGTGCATCCCATCGCTTCTGTCTTCCCGGTGTTCATGGGTGATGTGGGGTTATCGACTTGTGCTCTTCCCAAGTGGAGGGTGGCCACCACCACATCCCACCACTAGTCCACCTCTGAGCCTGCCAGTCTCCTGTGGGATGGGGCCAGCTGTGTGGGAAGGGATGGTCACCCCAGATGGTACCGGGAGGGAGAAGAGCTGCCATCTGAGTGCCTGAGGATGGGGATAGAGTCATGGTTTGGGTGGGAAGGGACCTTAAAGCCCCCCCAGTGCCACCCCCTGCCCTGGGCAGGGACACCTCCCACCACACCAGGTTGCTCCAAGCCCCCTCCAACCTGCCCTTGAACCCCTCCAGGGATGGGGCAGCCACAGCTTCTCTGGCCAACCTGGGCCAGGCTCTCACCACCCTCCCACTAAACAAGTTCTTCCCCACAGCTCAGCTCCATCTCCCCTCTTTCAGGGTCCAACCCTTTCCCCTCCTCCTAGGGCTCCCCTCCCTCATCCAGTCCCTCCCCAGCTTTCCTGGAGCCCCCCTTCTTTAGGGACTGGAAGGGGCACCTCAGCCCCCACTGCTGCTGCTGGAGGGAAACCACCCATGCAGGGAGCAGAGGATCCTTCAGCATCACACAGGGAAAATGTCCCTAATTGCATTGCAGCAGCAAAGAGCTTATTGCTAAATTATTCAGGTACCCAGAACTTCAAAGAACAGCTGGTTTAGGACAGTCCTGCCCCATGAAACTGTCCCTCCTGTGCCAATCCTCACTCGGAATCTCCAGCAGGACAGTGACAAACCCCACTGTCGCCTTTCCACGCATCCATGGGAATAATTGGCTCCGTGGTGCCGTTTTTAAATCATTAATTACATTGCAGGGACTCCAGTCCAACGGAGCTGCATCTGACCTTTCCCAGCACCACGTTCAGCCTTTCCTCCAGGCTTCAGGTTTCTCTCACCCCAGCCTGGCTGCCACTGCTGCCTTCCCAGCAACGATCCTGCCTGCCCAGCGATATTTTGCTCCGAGTCCCCACTTTGCCACATTCCATCATTTCCAGGCTCCTCAGCAGGGCCTGGGTTTTAAGTCTTCTTCTCTGCCCTCCAGCATAAACCAGCCCTGGGTTCGGAGCTCACTCCTGGTACATGCCAGGTCAATACAGCTGAGTGCACCCATGGTAGATGTGGGACACCACAAATCAGTCACACCCCCCCCAGATCCCCTCCAACAGCCAAACCCCCACTGACCCATGTCCCTCAGCACCACCTCTGCCCGGCTTTGAAATCCCTTCAGGGATGGTGACTCCACCACTGCCCTGGGTAGCCTCTGCCAAGGCTTCACAAACCTTTACAGGAAGACATTTTCCCCAATATCCATCCTAAACCTCCCCTGGGGCAACTTGAGGCCATTTCCTCTTGTCCCATGGCCTGTTCCTTGGGAGCAGAGACCGACCCCCACCTCTCTACCCCCTCCTTTCAGGGAGTTGAAGAGAGCAAGAAGGTCTCCCCTCAGCCTCCTTTTCTCCAGGCTGAACACCCCCAGCTCCCTCAGCCGCTCCTCACAAGACTTGTGCTCCAGACCCCTCACCAGCTCCGTTGCCCTTCTCATAGAATCATAGAATCGTCCAGGTTGGAAGGGACCTTTAAGATCATCTAGTCCAACCGTCGACCTAACTCTGATAAAAAAACCAAAAAACTAAATACCCCACATCAGAGGCACCTGAGACACCTGTGTTCTTTAACTTTCTCTGGACATGCTCCAGCTCCTCAAGGTCTTTCCTCTCATGAGGGGCCCAAAACTGGACACAGCACTCAAGGCTGTGTCCAGGGGGACGTTCACAGCCCCAGTCCTGCTGGCCACACTGTTCCTGACACAGGCCAGGATGCTGCTGGCCACCTTGGCACACTGCTGGCTCATATTCAACTGCTGTCAACCAACACCCCCAGGTGTTTTTTTCCAACCACTCTGCCCCAAACCTGTGGCCTTCATGGGGTTGGTGTGACCCAGGGGCAGGACCCAGCCCTTGGCCTCGTTGAACCTCACACCATTGGCCTCGGCCCATCCATCCCATCCAGATCCCTCTGTAGACCCCTCCTACCCTCACCAAGCACACAGCGTACGCGTCCTGCATTACTTATATTTGTAGCACTCAAACATGAAGAATGCATTTTGATGGGAGAGTTGGTGATTCAATCTGCAAACTGCCCTGACTGGCACAGCATCAACACCTTTGTCTGCAAACAGTCGTAAATCTCTTCGTAAAGGTTTAATGTTCAGACATTTTGCTTTGTTGCCGGGACAGGGCAAGCTCCTTGGAGCATGTTTCTGGTCCTAAGCGATGATGGGAGGCATACGTTGAACGCATGTTATGTTATTTGTAAAACACCAAGGGAAAACTCTCTGGAATTCAAGGCAAAGGCCGTGGTGCGTCAACCACCTCCGACGGAAGCCCTGCAGTGCCATGACTCAGAGAAGAAGGCCTCTTCCAGCTCAAGTCAGTGATGGACAACTCAACGAGCCAGAACACCGAGCAAGGCGGGGACACAGGGTCTTGTTCACCACAGCCACAGAAGCAGAGCTTTATAAAATCAGAATGACCTTGCATCCCACAGTTGACACGCTTGAAGGACAAGATGCCGTCCAGAGGGAACCCGGACAGGCTCGAGATAACTTGAGGAATTTAGTTATCACAAAGCTGACTGTTAAGCTAGAATTCCTAGAAAGGACCTTTAAAAGGACACAGACTTTGCAGTTCTTGTTCATCTTCCTGCCATTGCTGATGCACCACGAGAAATGGGGAGGGGGATGGCTGCCACAGCCCCCTTCCAACACACAAAACCAGTGCCCAGACCCCATTCTGCTCAAAGCCATCACATTATTCAAGCCTAAATTTTGATTCCATCCCACCCAAAGCAAGGGATGGCAACGGAGAACTACCAGACATGGGGCTTTGCTGGATCTGGGTTTCATAGCCTAATCCTGGCACTCGCTGAGACTGTGAAGTCCAACCAGGACTTCTGCTCAACCTGTAAATCAGACTTAAAACTCATTTATAAATGATAACAGGACCATCCTTGCAGGTGGTGCCCCCAGCACAGCCTCTGGGGCCAATTGCTGCTGTGATTCCCTGACACCCAACATGGGGTTGCAGACCATGGTCCCAGGTAGGCCACACCATGCCCAGGTGCCCAAAACAAGGCACAGCTCGCCAAAATACATCATTGACCCTTCCCCAGGCCCAAGGAAAGGTGCTGATGCCGTGTCTGGAGGATGTTCTTGCTACAGGACTGTCATTTCTAGAAGAAGACCTCCTGCACCAGGTATCTAATGATACCTCCTGTGTGGTTAAGAGAAGAGAGTAGATCTGAGACGACCAGCTACTTTGAGAAACTTACTCTGCACAGAATACAGTGAGGAATCAGAAGACCTGACCTTTGGGGGGATTGGGTTTTGACCAGGATAAGCCCACAGGATTGGAGCACTGCTTTCTCCCTGCTGCCTCCTCCTCCTCCTCACCAGCACCAAAGGGCACGTGGCCACAACCTCTGCAGGTCCCTGGGGCCGAGGTGGCCAAGTGACTCGTGGGACAGGCACTCAATGGACCCGCAGACGACGGTCAGAGCTTCCCCACACCTGAGGTGCTCAGGCATTCCCAAAAAATGAGAATTCCAACCAGGAACCTCCACCACGGGCTGTGAGAGGCGATAAACAGCTCCGAGTTCCACCATGAACTTGCAAACTGGCTTCGAGGGCTTTAAAATAATCATTTCTGGAAGAACAGGGAGCTGTCTCGCACAGATCCACTACAAACTCCCACTCCAGACCCCATAGTTTTCACTTAATATATTGAAAAATTACGGTGTGAAAAAAAAACAACCCAAAGCAATTAATTTGTATTAAAATTATATCGTAATGTATAAACATTTAAAGTAACACACGCATCTCTGAGAAGCAAGATAGCTCAACATTTGCTGATTCCTCTGATTTTAGCTCTTTTTTGTCAAAAAAAAGACATAAGGTTAAGACCTAATTACTGCAAAATTAAAAGATAAACCCTTCTCCTCCCATTTCGCCACAACAAGCCTTGGCTGACTTCACTCAGCCTTCCCCACCCCCAAAGCCCCCCTTTTGCCACCAGAGAGGTTTGGATTTCCCTGCACTCCCTTCCCACCCTACACGCGTGACCTCGTTAGGAAAGTTTCAGTGCTCACTTTCCCAGCTGGTTAGCTTTGTTAATAAATTAGATGTTAAAAAAACAAGAAAAAAACCAACAAAAAACAACCCCAAAACAACCACGCCAAACCATAACATTCGAAAATTAAATTGCTGCGTTTCCTCATCTTCAAAGAAACAGAAGCAGCATTACTTTAATAGTCCTCCTAAGATTACTAAATCTCTTCTACGGAGAGATTTACAAACAACTAGGTCATCACCCAATAATACTGTTTTCCCTCCGAGTTCCTGGCAACCTCCCCCTGCTAACGAGCTGCCGTGGCCATCTCGAGCCCTGGGAGCTCTCATGGGCTACACTGGGTTTTTCAGCCAACAGCACCAAACTGCAAGACTGACATTGGTGGTGTAGGGGGTTCTGCAGAACTTGGGGTTTCAGAGCCCCCTAGTAGGGTTTTCTGGGACAGGGATGTCTCCAGGAGTATCTCCTGGGAGAATTAAGTCACTCTCTAAAGAAAAGACCCCCTCAGTCGGGGAGGGCACTGCTCCAATTTCTAGGAAACAAGCCCTCAATGCTCAGTGGGCAGCCCCGAGACAAAAGCAAAGACGCCCCGAAAGCCCAGCGTATCCCACCACTTTTCT